GTCTTCTTATAATTTTCGAGAGAAAAGAATATTTGAGGTAAAGAAGAGAATTACATCCAGAGTATAGAGATGAGGCACGACACGCAGGCCGTATTTAAAATTACAACAAATATAACTAAGCCACAATCATCCACCATGCAATAATACATACAAGCATCACATGCATCACATCATACATATTAAAGCATACACCGGGCGAACCGCGCTCGCCCCAGACCTAGTTTATTCTATTCTACGGAATAAACTATCAACAATAAATTAATTAAACTAGCAAGTAATTTAATTAAAATCATAAAATACTTTAAATTTCCAGAATGTTAGATATTAGATTTTCTAAATTCCAGAAAATAAAATATTTTATATTTACCGTATTTATATATATTTAAATTCGAAAAAGGGCTTTTATTTTGAATTAAATATATATATGTTTTCTAAATTAGAAAATAATTATTGGAGACTCCCACTAAACTTTATTAATCTGGAAATCCTAAAATTCCAGAATGAATAAAATTTAAAATTTTGAAAACCATTTTTCAAAGATAGAAAACCGAAATTATATTGTGAAAATATATTTCGAAATTCCAAAAATATCAAAATTTATTTTCCAAGTCAAAAATAAGTTCTAGAACCAGAATATGATTTTTCTAGAATTTAAAATATTTATTTTGCAATTTAAAATAATTAAAAATCGGACTAGTGAACAGTACCGATCCAATTACTTCAAAAATACAAAATAAATACTTTTACGTGTTTAAAAATTATGAAAATTTTTATACAAGTTTAAAATCTCTGGTCGCAACGTATTATGAATTAAAATTAATTTTTGATCGTCAAAAATAAGTTTTCCTATTTTCTATTCAATAAACGAATTTAAAAATAGAAAAATAGGAAATTAATTCTAAAAATCAATTTTAAAATTTCGGAGTTATAGTGACATATCAAATACTTCCTAGAAAATATAAAATCTAATTTTCATAAATATTAAGTATTTATGGCACAAATAACAAGTATTCTACACATAAACTACTTAATAAGAATAATATAAAAATACCCCAAACAGTATTTCCGAAAATTACTAAACAAAATTATATTAGGTCCAGTATTTAAATATGGCCACCTAATTAAATTTTAATGGGATAAATTTTTGTCTCCAAAATTTATTGACTAATTTACAAAAACAATAACGGTAAAAACTACTAAACTAGTAACTTCGTAAGCCGGCTCTGATACCACTGTAGGGAAACGAGGCTTGGATAACGCAGCGGAAAACAAAAATTTATAGTCCAAAACTCGATTCCAACCAAGAACAACTTACGTAAATTACTAGCTATAGTAAGAAATTTACCTTAACGGTGAAAACGGAGAACGGAGGAACGGTCGGGGATGGTTTTGAGGAGATGAACGTAGCGCCAAACGTATGAAGCCTCCAACGTATCCACACGAACTTGCTCCGGAGTCCAAGATTAAACTTGTGCTAGCAAGTTTAATATAGGATAGTAAAAACTATAATAATACTACTTTGGGAGTAATAAATATATAGTAAAATATTTATCTTATAAATATTTGTTTATAATATTTTG